ACATAGGAATTTATTTTAAGAAAAGGAAAAATTAAAGTGAAGTATCAAGTTGCTAACTGCTTGTGATACTAGTTATTTGCCTCATTATTGCCTAGGATCTTTCTCAGTTCTTATGAGCATTCTCTGCTATCACTGTTTTCCTCTCTAACCTGAAGGCTTAATAAAAGAAAGGACACAACCCAGAGGTGGTAACGATGTTTGGCGCTGAGTTGCGTGTTCATTACCGAGAACAGATAAGAATTTTCTAATTGATATGGGTTTTTCTTTTTTCATATTAAAGATAATCCAAGAATTGACTTCCAACATTCCAAAAATTATCTCATTTACCATGCGTGAGCACTGTTCTGTCACGTCAGGAATATGTATCGGATGTCGGGGGATGATACCGTACGGAAATCATATTTAATCATCTTCAATCGGTCCCAGGCGTCCTACACCTTTATATCGTATATAATGATTTTTGATGCTAGCATCTTTACATCTATCCTGCTCCCATTCAAATATTTCTAAAAACGACAATTTTATAGGCTTCATAAGATAGACAAAATTTGAAATAATCCCGGCCGCTTGGCAGTCTAGACGAATATCGGAATCCGAGGACCTTAACTGTAGTAATAAGTATAGTTAGTGAATGTCTATTATATATAGCATACTTAAAGCATAATTTTGAACCATAATGAATATGATGGAAGCACTTGAATCAAATGAAATCTTCTTACATCATTAAGACATTAAGGTGTTTTTTTTCTATACCTTTAATTACAGTTTTTCTTAACAAGCAGATATCTCGTTTTAATAAAAAAAAAATAATAATAATAAAAATAAAAAAAAGAGAATCATTTGTTTTCTTTCTACTTAATATTTCAATAATTATAGTTGTTATTATAACACAATATTACTACAACTTGAGCCAAAATCTAATATTATATATTTTACAATCACTTAAATATTTATATAAAAATATTAATAATTTTTAAACTGGACTGAGATGGGATGACATTTTTTAAATTCACATTGAAATAATATAAATTTGAAATATGTATATATTATATATATATATATATATATATATATATATATATATATATATATATATATATATATATTTATTTATATTTATATTATAGTCTGTGTCACGGGCTATAAGTTTGTATAAATTTTTATTAAACTAAAAAAAAAAAGATCATATTAAAATAACGATTTGTTTTGCTGGTTAGTCATATCTAGTTCCGAGTAGGCGCTTGCCAGTGCGCCAGTCAATCAAAATTTTCTTGCCAGTGCCTCGCTGGCCTCTCCAGTGACTGACATGAACCGTTTACACGTTGCCAGCCGCTGGCATTGAGTGACTGGCGACCTATACTGGCAAGCCAACTGGCACCATGTAAATGTGCCTTAAGACATCGCCTTGTGCAACACCAGTCTCTACTGGATAATAATTAGTGAGTTCTGTGCCGCAATATACTTGGAAGGGAAGGTTTGCAAAGCTATCATACTACACTTGGTCAAAAGGTTGTGCTACATCCAGAAAGAAGCTGGTACAATATTGCTTGCTTTCAAGTGCACAGGATATGTGATCAAAACATGAAGACCTTGTTGAATTGTGGAATGTCCTGAGCGGAATCCAAGTTGAAGTGAAGGGGTTTTATTTAGATTCGAGTATGGATAGGATTTGCTTGAGAAGGATTTTTTCAAAACTTTTTAAAAAGATTGGGAGAAGGCTTATTGGTATATAAGATGAAGCGTTAATGGCAGGTTTCCTGGTTTAAGGAAATGGAATGATATGATATGATGTGTGGAGTGATAATATTCAATTATATGTATAATTATATACAATTACCTCAGACGGAGCTTATGAATTGTTTCCATATTAAAGGAAAATGGATTGTATGAAGAATACAATTGTATAGGTTGGTAAGGAATATAATTGCTTTTTTAGGAAGTCGTCAAAGTGTCTGGAAAATAAGGTCACTTTCCAAAGGGAATTATCGGGATAGCGAGGAGTGATGGGAATTGAAGACTTGGAATTTTTTGTGTAAAACCTTCAACACTGATAAATATCTTTTTCATCCTTACGAAATCAACAGGCAACTTTATATCAATCTCTAAATCCTTCCCCCTCCCCCTACTTTGCCTTATACAATACAGGTTTTGATAGCAATGGATTACTATTCAAGGTGTAAGTGTATTCCACTGCTGGCAGTAAAACTCTTTATTTTATAGAACTAGTTGTGTTATTTAACATTTATTAACTTAATAATTTTGGGAACAATAAAGGGGTGGTATCAACTATGGAGTAGACTTGTGAACAGAGCTGAGCACAAGCCCACACATTTCCTTTTTTCCCTCCTTACTTATTGTTATGGATTATGCTTTCACCATAAGTGCCTCCTCTAAACAGCAGCAGCTTATTTAAGCCCTTCTCTTCTCCTCAGCAACAATAAACAAATTTCCTGTAATAAGGGTAATTATCTCTGGTCATTAGCTCTCTGACAGTGTATATGCCCCAGTTTCTCTCAGGTCATAGGCATTGCATTTGACAACTATATGTTCAGCGGTCTCCGGGACTTAGTAAAAGACAGGTCACTTTACTGATAAGCAATATCCTTCATTATTTAGACCAAATAGTTGATGCATTATTGGCTGACGAATTTGTTTTGTGCTAAATTCAATCACAGATTAATATAAATAATTGTCTTTTATATATAATCACATATTCATTTTAAACAATTTATTAAGTACTTCTTCTTTTTGAACTGGTTTTACAACTTTTTTTTTCTTAATGTCATTCACAGCAATCTCTTTATATCTTCACAATAACATTATGTCACTCAGTCATTTAAATGGATAATCAGGAGTTTACTATATTAAGTGTTTTAAATTTCCTTAATTAATATCAACCCTATTTACATAATTATAGCTTTACTATGATCTTGATTTTTTTATATTTTAACTAATTTTTAAAAAGAACTATTGTTTAAAATATCTCATTAACAATGAATGAATATTTGAAAATAAAATATAACAAAGTTACATTCTTGCAAGATTATATTGAAAATATGTTTTGGTTACATTATATTAATGGCCATGTGATTTTAGGTCTTACCTTATGAATTCCAATGGATATTCAGAAGTAGGTATGAAATGTGTGTTAGTGAATGAATTTCAATCAATATTCATATATTACTCTGGTCTTGAATGAATTATGTAAACAGATCATTATTATTTTATAGTTTAATTAAAGAAGTTGACTTTAACACTTTTTGATGACTTACTAAATTTCACTATAAAATGATGTTATGTATTTTTAATTTTTTTTTTATTTTAACATCTTATAGATTCATTGAATTGATTAAATATTATAATCAGTTTAAATAATAATATATAAATTTTCTAAAGGAGTAAACATCATGGTTGTACTTTAATTGTAGACATATGTATCATATTTATTTTTTATTTATGAAATTGATAGTTGATGCCTAAAGTGGCAGTCATTTTTAGAACATAGATTTTATGGGGAATATGTGTGTAACTTCTGGGTCCTGCAATATCTAAAAGAAATTATATTCATGATAAAATAAAAGCTTGGTTAAATATGGAAGTACATGTTATTTTTCTAGTATAAAACTATTCAGTTTGCAACAGAAAGCAAGAATTTTCAGAGCTGTTATACTTCCTATTATTATTTATGAAACGTTATGAATTTATAACAAGAAAGAACAGTGCCTTCAGATTTTGAAAATTAAAGAATTATGTTGTCAATCTGCCAGGAACAAGATTATTTTGACTATAGAATTTAAACATTTTGTCTTGACAGTATTTTGTGACCTATAGTATAAAAAAATGCTGGGCCAAAAAATTGTAGGATAATGGTTCTCCATTGAAATGGGATGTGTGATGTTCAACTTGTTACCCTTTGACCAAGGGGCACTGGTTGCTTTTATCAACCAGTCGAATAATTTCATCTCCAATTTTCAGAAATTTTGACTCAGGTACTTCCTACCGCTAATGCCTTACACTCTTCCTTTTCTTTTAGTACAGGTTTGATTTAATTGGGGTTGCAAACAATGCTTGCAATATTGTTCATTATTGAGTCTTTGAAAACCTGCTTTGGTAAACACAGTCAACCAAGCTCCCTGGTCATGTAAGTAGTTTAGTTTCTGTTTTCTACTGATTATAAATTTTGCATCTCTTCTCTAAATCGGATTATACTAGTTTAGGTCGCATTTTATTAAAATTGAAGACACACCTAGAATTTGACTAGAACTTTAAGAGCAATTCAATCTGATTAGGAAAAAGAAGCTAGAGTTTGTGCTGGCAGATCAACAGAGTATGACTTTTCCGACTGTGAAGATAAAATCATGAATTATTCTAACTAGGAACATAATACTGACACTGAGCATGAAACAGATTCTGAAAAGGAGACTACCTCTGAAGTTGAGATGGAGAAAGATTTTTGTATGTAAAGGATTTTGTATGTAAGACACATTCAAAAATGTATAAATTGTGAAAACTGGAGTGCTTATTATCTCTAATAAAGATTTATAACTATGAATGCTTTAAAATATTGTGTATGTTGTATCTTATATATGATAACTTTCTCTGTAATTATTAATTTTCTATAAGCGATAACTTTCTTTGTAATTATTAATTTTCTATAAGCGATTTTGGTAATATAAAATTTTTAAAAACTATACCCTTTTACATTATAATTCCCCTAATATCATTAAAAATAAATTTAAAAATATGCTAATGTATAATAGTTTAGAGTAATAGTGAGTATATACTCATTACTTAACAAAAATTATAGTGGTTGACAAAGTCAACTGTGCACCGTTAACTTGAAAGTAATAATTGCTCACTAAACAAGCTAAGAGTGGCTTGGTGTACCATTTGTATCAGAAAACTTATAATTATTATTATAATTATACTAATCATTATAATTATAATACTAATAATTATTATTTAATCACATTAATCATTTGTTGTTTTTTCTATCTTAGGTCAGAAATTTTAACTTGGTGGCAATCTGAAAATGGGAAAGAAGATGTTTCAATCAGACTTGATCTCGAGGCAGAATTTCATTTTACTCACCTTATAATAAAGTTCAGGACATTTAAACCAGCGGGAATGTTGGTTGAACGCTCATCAGATTATGGAAAGACATGGAAGGTAGTAATTTTGTTATTTTTTAATAAGTATTGTAGTAATTGTTTTTATGCTAATATTATTTAGCATGACAAGGAATTAAGGACATCATGTTCTAAATGAAAAAGAGACTACCAGTCATTTGTTGTAATCACTGGATTATGTGTCTCAGAAACCTGGTCTATTATAACCAACTGAGCTGGTAAACTGTTATCAATGGAAATAATTTTTGGAGACATAGTTGTAGGGCATCAAGACTACAACTAATTCCAAATAATGCCATTGGGAAAAAAAAGTACCACCACATAACATCCTGTGCATCATTGAAACAAAAAAACTGAGTAAGTTTGAGCATGTTATGAGAAGCGGATGACCGATGGTCTTGAAGAATACTACCCTCCTTCCCACCGAACAACAGCGTTTGGCAAATTCTTTCTCATACAAGTTGTCTTCTTCTGGAACTTGATCTCAGATATCTTATATAAATATGTGTTTTGGAATCTGTTATTATCTAAATTATTTAAGTAAACAAAATCCTTTTTTTTTTCTTCCTGCCGGCATTACTGCCATACGGGGTAAATAACAATAATCCTGTAAAAATCATCACTCACAATTACACTCTAATCAGGGTGATTGATATGACAGTAAATATTACACCTTTACTTTTCTCAAAACACCCTATGCAATTGGGTAAGTAAATAATATCCTAATACTAGGATTTAAATATAGATATTAAATGAAACTAATAATAAGTTGGTTGGACTTTAATGTCTTTTCTATTATTTATAATTGGGTGATATAGTGATCACATAGATGAATATTTATTATTTGATTGTATGAATAATGACAACTACCTTATTTTTAGCATTGATATTATTTCTTCCGAGTACACAGATAAGTTGCTGAAAATGCTGTGTCCATAAAATAGATAGAATATATATAAAATTTCCTTTCTATTGGTCAGTAATTAATGCATTTTTTTTTATTTGTTTGTATTCTCAGGTCTACCGGTATTTTGCTGAAAAATGTGAAATCTCTTTTCCTAATATCCCTAGAACAAAACAAACTTCTTTGACAGATGTTGTTTGTGACTCCTCTTACTGGAAGACTGATACTTCTACTGAAGGCGGTGATGTATGTCAATCCAATATTATATACTGAGTTTAATTTATAATGAAATATTTTATATTTCATTCTATTTTCTAAATATCTGTTTTTTATTTTTGATTTAAAATATGCCTATAGTTCATTCTTGATTATAGGTAATTCTGCGTGTTATTTCACCAAATTTGCAAGGCAATCGTAACCCTTACACTAGTGAAGTGCAAGAGTTATTAAAAATAACTAATTTGAGGATAAATTTTACAAAGCTTTTCACCTTAGGAGATGATCTTTTGGACAAACGCCAGCAAATTCAGGTATATTAATATAATACATTGTTAAATACTATGCTTTTTCAAGATGATTCTAAATTTAAAAAAAAATTTTTGTTAAAAGTTGAAAATAATTGATTTTTTTATTGTGTTATTAATAACATTAATATTTATTTATTATTTGTTACCTGCAGCTGTCAAACTGATGGCTTTGTTAATCAGTTTCAGTCTCAGTTTCACGACAAAAGTTTATTTAAAATTATAAGATTACTGTGTGTGTGTGTGCGTGCGCGTGCGTTTGTAGTTATAAAAATTATTAACCTTCAAAGTTAAAAATATATAGACTATATAGCCATTATTAGAGGGTATTAAAATACCATAAATAAATTTACAATTTATTACCTAAAATTGTATATATATATATATATATATATATATATATATATATATATATATATATATAATCAAAAGTTATTGTTAATTTAATTGTTTAGGTATAACTATGACTAATTTATTTTTTTGGTTCTAAGATAAGAAAGACCCAACGGGTTTTACAGGGGCTGGAGTATACATAGAGGATTTTGACATAAAATTAAGCATTCCACTTGGCCAACAATACACCATTTTCCAGAAAAAAGTGTTCATCGTTGCAGGAACCACAATCCAAGAAGTTATTGGCTGTGACAAAGCTGGTATCTCTATCTATTCTGATAGCTAATTAGCTCTTCAAGCTTTAGAATCCTCCAAGATGATCTCCACTCTCATGAAGGAGTACAGACAAGCTCTCAAGACCCTTGCCTGAGAGCTAAATCTCGAAGAGCCGACTGGCTATCAGAATAGATAGTGATGTCGACTTTGTCACCGCCAGTAACACCTTGGCTTATTGCTGCTGTCAAGATGATGAACACTTCTGCCTGGAAAATGGTCTAATTTTTGCCTATTGGAATGCTTAATTTTATGTCTAAATACTCTATGTATACTTCCTCCCATATAAAACCGGTTGAGTCTTTCCTTGAGCCATCAATGAAACAGGGTAGGTTGTTTACTGGAGTCCTTCGGTCCAATCCAGTGCGTTTGGTTTAGGTAACTATCAAGAGGCGGTGAGTGGCACTATGGGCTGTTCTTTCTCAATTACCCTGGAATTAACTTATTTCCAGTGATTTCACCTATCTCATGCCACTATCTATTATCTCTCAATCTTAACTAAGATAAAGCGACTTCCCCATGATGAATTGTCCCCTTGAGTGTCTTCATTGTGGAAGGTTTCCCTTGAAGAATTTCCGAGCTTGAGAAATTTTTGCCTGCCTCATTGTACGCATCATCCATGCCACTAATCACCTTTTCAGATGCATCCAAGAAATTGAAGGAGCTATATCAATTTGTTAAGAGCCAGAGCGAAACCTTTACTCCTCCAGCATCTCCTCATTTCGGTGGTATTTTGGAGGCAGCTATTAAATCCGCTAAGAGACACCTTCTTGGCGTTCTCCAGGATCATGCGTTAACATATGAGGAATTTTATGCTCTTCTGGTACGAGTTGAAGCCGTTCTCAATTCCTGTTCTATCCATGATATTAGCAGTCAGCCTTCGGATAACCTGGATTACCTCACCCCAGGACACTTTCTTATAGGTCAATCCCTCTTAGCCAGACCAGAACAAAAAGGCGTACCTGTGTTTCCTTTGGCAAGCCGTTGGGAGGTGATTTCCTAGATTCATCGTAATTTTCGAAAGAGATAGTATAATGAGTACTTCCTCAATCTGCTGGTACACTGACAGAGAAAATTTAAAAGAGGGAACCCTTGTTATTCTACATGAAAAAGATGTTCCACTGCAGGAGTGGCAGCTTGTCAGGATAATAGAGACACTTCTAGAGCCTGACAGTATTGTTAGGGTGGTAAAATTGAAGACTGCTACAGCCACTTTGGTGTTACAAGTGACAAGTTAATGACTCTCCCTTCTGAAGAAACCTTTTATTGATTTGTATGTTTTTTGTTTTGTTTTTTTTGCTTGAATTTAATGAGGAGTCATTTTATTTTAAATGAATTGTAATTTATTAGTCTATCTTTGATCTGGTTCACTTTATTTCTAATTTTTCTCCAGTTTGTGCCTTGCCTGGTTATCACAAATCTCTGATTTTTTTTTTTAAATGAAATATTTCATGGTGGGGGTTATGTTTGTGCAAAGTTAGTGTCCAGCTGTCTCATTGTGGAGACTGGTGGGGGCAGATCAGAAGATCTAAAAGATAAAATTTAATCCGTACCAGCTCCCGGTACCCATTCCAGCCCAGATATCCACGGAGGCAAGCAGACTAGCAGACTTGAGGGCCCTCAGTTAAAAGAGATGCCTTAACCAGCATAAAAATATTAAGCTGATTTCGGACAATTTGTATAACCTTCCATTCATTAAAATACATTCCACTGCATAAATATGTAGAATTTGCCAATAATTTGAATGTTGCCTATTAAGAACTCATGAGAGTTATTTGCCTTACCTTAATTGAAATGTGAAAAGTTGCCTAAACACCCGCAGTGCTTCTTACCTGCCTAGAGGCAGCTATTGCTTTTCTTTTAACCTTTGCCACATGTGGGCCCCAATTTAGTTATGGGTCCAATGTGGCACCGAGGTATTTAACTCTGGCTTAATTGTAGTTGATTTCCAAAGAATTTTGGAATCCTAAAGGTTTCCAATCTCCATTTTTGGGTAAAAGAATCACCTCTGTCTTACTTGGGTTTACTAATAACCTCATTTCAGTATAACATGCTTGGACATCACACGCTACCTGCTACGTTCGAAAATTCTGTTTATGAACTTGTCACATATGAAGATCATGCCATAGTATGCAAAAGATTGAGCAAAGATGGCTGCTCTATCAGCCTGGTGTAAAAGTTTTAAAAAAACATATATGGTAAAAACAATACCAATGGAAAATGGAACATACTGGATTAGCAGCTAAACATGCTGGCTGCATTACTAGAAGGTTCTTTACAGACTTTAGTAGATGTTAAGGAGACACCAGACTCTGGCAGGGCTGAAAGACAGTGGCAGCTAGCTGATGCATGTTCACAGCATCATGCATTGCCTGACAACCTGATAACCAAAGTTTGAAATAGAAAAATAATAACGAGTTCAAATTCCGGTGCCCAATATGACGTTTAAGTAGGCATAATTCCCCATCCCTGGAAAAAAAAAAAACTGTGTAGTCTAAAAGGCAAGGAAGGGGGACCAATTAAAAAAAAAAAGTAATGAACAGTACACCTCCAGTTGCTAAACTGGACAGGCGTGCACCTCGCCTCGCGCTAGATCTCAGGAAGGGGATCGATCTACTTTTAGCAGCCTAACCTACTACTCTACCCTGAGCGGCTTCCTAGGAAAGATAGCCCTTGGGTGTATACTGTGTGATATCAGAGTAATTTTCCCACAACTTGAAGGACCAGTGGCTAATTACAGCCTAACGTCTGGGAGATGGGGTTGCCACATTCCTACACCATTAATAATATGAGCCTTTTAGCTGGCAGATTGACTAACTCCAATTTCAACATTTTTGGGTAGTCATTTTAGTGATATTTCCAGTAGGAAAACTTATCTCTATACAGACAGTAAGTTGATTCCAGAGTAGGTGATTGCAGTGTTAAAATCTATAACTGTGAATAAAGATATAAATTTACTTACTAGGAATATTAAAATTAGTAATAAAAAATGTTGAAATTGTAGTTAGTTATTCTATTAACTGATGATGCTCATATATAAGATGATTTATTATTAAAGGAGGACTAAATTTAATACAAAGTTCAGTAAGAGCCTTGTCACTCATTATGAAACTTATAGCAATCTTTGTTCTTAGAGATTTACCATTATTTATGTTTAGATATATATGTATTTATTTAAAAGAAAAATATAACCATTATTTATATTTACATACATATATATATTTTTTTATAGGAAAAATATTATTATGCTATTACTGAAATGACTGTGAGAGGATCATGTTGGTGTTATGGTCATGCGGAAACATGCCTCCCTCAAAATGAAGCGACTGATCGTATCCTAGATATGGTCTATGGAAAATGTGACTGTAGTCACAATACAACTGGTTTGAACTGTGACAGGTGTAAACCTACACATAACGACCTAGAATGGAAAGCTGCAACTGGACGTTTGACTAATGCTTGTAAAAGTATTATAAGTGATATTAATCTATATACTGCTTTGTAGACTATATTTTATCTTGATGAATAATACTTCGTTTTTTTTTTTTTTTGTTTTGTTTTTTTCTGTAGAATGTAATTGCAACAATCATGCTGAAACTTGTGATTTTAATAGAGATGTTTTTGTAAAAAGTGGTCATGTTAGTGGAAGTGTCTGCCACAACTGTTTACACAACACAATGGGAAACAATTGTGAAAAATGTAAACCATACTATTTTCATGATCCTTCATTGCCCATCACTCATGAAGATACTTGCTTATGTAAGTTCTGAGAAATGACTAGAGATTATTTCACATCAGTTCTTCTGATATTACTCTTGTTTGGTGATTTATTTTGTAAACATATAAATTATTTTTATTAAATTATATTGTAAATTGAAAGTTTTTTTTTTTAATCCACAGCATGTCATTGCAATCCAAGTGGTACAATTGATGGTGGATTGTGTGATTCTCTGGACGACTCCTTAAATATCCAAGCTGGCCAGTGCCATTGTAAAAAAAATGTCATGGGTCTTAAATGTGATGAATGTAAGCCAGGTTTTTGGAATATCAGTGACTTGAATCCCGATGGTTGTGAACGTAAGAAAAATTCATTCAATCAGTATGTTAAATATTGTTTTGTCATATTCAATGACTTTATTAGGTTAATAAAGATGCAACAATTTTATGTAATAAAGAATAACAAATAAAGATGTATAGTAATTTTTATTTGATAATTAATTAAACTATCTAATCAAAATTAATAAACAGATATTCAAAGTAAAGGAATAACTTCTTCCTGATAGGAATAAAAATTCTAAACTGTATATTTATTTCTTGTTTCCTTATCTTTTTAACTTGCAAAGGTATCGCTTCATCAAATTGATGAAGCAGTCCCTTAGGGATGCGTTGGTTTTTTTCGTTCTTCCTATCTATTATTCTTAAAGAACTATTTGTTAACTATTTTCTGATATATTTAGCTAAACCAATCGATAAAATTATAAAAATAACCGTATCAACATAATTAATAAAATTATAGAAGTCAGTTTGCCAAAATGTATTCAGATAAAAACTTTTTATGTGAAAGTATAGGAGCAAAATACTGTTTCTTCTTCTTCTTCTTCTTCTTTGTCTTCCTTACGGTGCCGTTTCTAGCGTCGAGGAGCCTCTATCCAGCACAGCCCCTCTTCCTGACCTCTGCTTAACCGCTTCATTTGGTTGAAGGATTTGCCTCTTCTACCTCCGATCCTCTGCATGAAAACCTGATATGAAACTCTGTGATCCCCTCGTGGTCTCTTCCCTGTGGGTTGAGCCTCTAATACCTTTATAGGGTCCATGTCTTAGTTGATTCGGCAGACATGTCCAAACCATCATAGTTGCCTGTTTTGCAAGGTGGTTTTGAGTCTAGGCACTTCCAGCTGTTCTCTGACAGTTTCATTTCTAATGCGATCCCTCCTAATTTTTCCCATCGATGTATGTAGGAACCGCATTTCTGCTGCTGTTATGCAACTGTAATGTTTGTCCAACATAGTCCAGCTTTCTTTGCCGTAGGTGAGAATAGGTAGGTACACTGACTTATAGACGTGCATCTTGGTATTTTTATCTACTTCCCGGCAGCTGAGGACACTGCTTGTGATATGGTGGTGTGCTTGATTCACCTAAGATATTCTATAAAAAATCTCAGCATCTATCTTACCAGAGTTAGTAATTATGATACCTAAGTAGGTGTAATCCTTCACTACCTCAAGAATTTTTCCGTTGCAAACCAATTGGATGTCTTCTTCTTCTTCCCTCACCATATTCATCACTTTACTCTTGAAAACATTTATTCGCATACCTTTCCTCAGCAGCTCTTCTTCCCATTCTACCAGTGCTTGCTGTAGTTTCATCTTGGAATCGGTGATGAGCACAATGTCATCTGCATATAAAAAGCTCTGTACCAGCACATTTCTCATGTTCTAGTTTCCAATTGCAGTCTGGCGCTTGCAGATTTTATGGATCTCATCCATAAATAAAGTTTATAAACAGGAGGGGGAAATGTTTATTTAGATCGAAAATGAATCTCAGGAAATACTAGTCAGAAGGTGTGCGTATAATATATCGTTGGAAAGCAATGAATTTTAGAGAAAACAATATTTAATATAGAAAGTGGTAGAAGTTAATGGGGAGTGACAAAAAATTATAAATAATGATTGGTGAAAACTAATTTTATTTAACAGAAATCACATGTTTCCAAGGAAATTAAATGAAATTTACTTACTAAATGTAAAATTAAGTTTGAAAAAAAAGTATTTAAAATCCACTGAATCAAGCCAATGACATTGTTTAAAAAACTATTTCATTGTATTTGTGTGAAAGAAGAAGTGAAATATAAAAATATTTCATGGATGTATGAAGCATATGTTTATAACCTTAAATACATTTACTGTAGTTTAATAATTCTAAATCTGATATATTAAAATAATTAGGTATCAATGTCCGTTAATTCCGAAAAATCATCATATAACCTTAAGAAAATTAAGTTAGTGAATAATTTGATGAATATTTCCTTTGTGAATCTCAACATTATCCACTTAAAATTAGTGTGACAACTTATGACCTATCTATGGCAGGCTATGATCATCTAATTTCATTTTAGTAAACTTTACAATGGATTATAACAGTTTCATAACTAATAGGCGTACAATCCATAATCATTTATAGGTTGAATATACAGATATACTTTCAAATCTCTCAAGGCATATATATATATGTGCATAGCTCAGAGACTGGAGTTATGTGGTTTACAAAAACAGATGGAGGTTTTATTGCCTACCGTTGATGTAATAAATAGGGTTTTTGTTATTGTATTAGTCTTAATAATTTATAGCTGTAAGAATTAAGCTGTAACTCCATTAAAAATTTTAAGATAGCTCAAAATTTCTAGAAAATAATTTCCATTCAAAGTAGAGTGGTAAGTGAAAGTTGTGTGTTGCATGCACCAGATTTTTACATTTTATAATGCCAATCTGATTTTGCAATTCAAGACAGGTTCATCATAGATTTTTCACAAATTTTTTAAAGGTGTTTTTTAATCGGCGGCCATAGGAAAACAGTATTAGGAAACAAAATAAGCAATAAAGTTACTCTATCTGTAAGATAAATAAAGGAATTACTCTAAACACTAGAGTTCGCCACTACAACATAGAATAATTCACGTGAAAAGGTATCACTTTGTCATTTAGGCGATATTGCATCAACTAAATAATAAAAACAATCAGACTTATTGTTCTGCTTTCAATCATCAAGGATCACTTGTGAAATAGGTGGAAATTGCAGTGCTGAGAGGAGAGAGTATCAGAAAAAGCAAATACTAGGAAAATAATCGGATCATTCATAAACTTTGTCATTTTGACAAACACTAACTTGGCCACGTTAAAATGTCATTCAACTGTTTTCCCCTTGTCTTTACTGTCACTTTTTCTGTGGATTTCCTATACTTTATTATCAGTCTTTTATATATAAATTTTACCTCTTCTTACCAATTTATATTTTCAATATTTCTTCTTATACGGCACTACATCCCACATGGAGACAAAGCCTCTTGCAACTTTGACCCCAGTCATACCTATTCCGTGCTGTTGTCTTCCAATTCTGGACCGTGTATCTGCAGATATGCCATCAATCCATTGCAACCTTGGTCTTTCTCTTCTTCATTTGTCAAAGATTTGCTATAAGAAGATGTTTTTAGGAACCTGATCTCCAGGCATTTTTATAACATGTCCAGCCCATCTGAGATGACTTACTTTAATAAAGGACACCACATCACCATCCCCATGTAGCTGCATTAATTAAGCATTAGTCCACTGTCTTCAGACTCTGTTTATATGTCTTGCAACCATCATTCTTCTCAGACTCTGTCTCTCAAATCTAAGCAAAGCCTGTTCTTGATTTTTATTAGTGGTCCAGCATTCCGCAGTGTGAGTACTGACCTTACCAATGTCATATACAGGTGGATCTTGGTTGTTCGAGATACTCTCTTGAAATGCCCAGCTAATCCATGGTAGCTTTTGTTTGCGGAGACAATCTGACACTGAAATTTCTGTGCAATGACATTATGGGAATTCACTTGTGATCCTAGATAAATAATTCTTCCACTCACTTGAAGGAATATGACTCATATGTATTTAGTGTTTTCAATTAAGAAATCTGTATAATATTTTTAATTATATGAACAATAGAAAAAGATAATGATGAAAATCTTTTATATTTCAACATGGTGTCCCCGTTTTTCATTTATGAAATTTTAAAAAATGTTGGTGGTATTAAATTACCAGATTATATTAAATTACAGTAAAAAAAAACTAAGAGATGGGACACTATTAGTTAAAGTAGCTTCAGATACTCAATCAGATAAACTTTTGAAATATGAAAATTTATTGAATAACTTTCCCATCAAAGTAGATTCTCATAGCACATTAAGTCTAAGTATGAGCATTGTATAGTGTCCTGACTTCTTTCCCTACTTCCTGGATTTTTTCTAACATTACACCCTTTTGACCCTCGGTTCTTGGACTACTACCCTGATATTCTATTCTAAGCCTTTTTATGATTTATATCTTTCTTTTTTTACCATATGACTAATTTTCTTATATATTTTCATGCTAACTCTCAATCCCTTTCTAAGATTTAAATTTTATTAAAATTTTAAAAAAATAATGTTGTATTCATGGATTTTTATATGTAATAATTATTTTTTTAATTACAGCTTGCACCTGTTTTGCGGCTGGCTCCTACAACATTTCTACATGTGACTCTGTAACAGGTGAATGTTTTTGCAAGAAAAATGTTATAGGAAAAGATTGTAACCAATGCCTTTATGAACACTGGGGCTTATCAGAGGACACAGATGGCTGTGAACCCTGCAATTGTGATATTGGTGGATCGTATGATACTAATTGTGATGTTATCACAGGCCAATGCAAGTAAGTATAAAAAAGAATTCCTGAGTGAGTGAAGGTGTTAGGGCAAAAGTTCTGAACTTAATTTAGTGTGGTATTGGTTTGATTTCTAGCAGGACCGGGCCAACTTAAATCTATTGCATTGTGGTCCTTTGTAATAAATCTTATCAATCCTGCTTGAATTGAATAGTGTAGCAACCTCTTAATAGTTGTGATGCTTGTCTGCACAGTAAGCCCAAGAATGTTTTAGAACTAGCTTGCAGCTAAGGAAAGAGACTGATTTGGAACAAGAAATATTTTATTATTTAAGGTGTTTTGTAAACATATTCATTCTTAATTATTTATTTCGAGGATTCTTCCTCCTTCAGGAATATATCTTATATTTTTTTTACTGATATATCTTAAAATCAGGAATTGAAATGAAACTTTTTTTTTTAATAAGTTCTGATAAGGTGACTGGAATCTTCATTTTCTATTATTTTGAAATTAAACCTTATCCTATGGAACTTTTAAATTAAAGATTTTATAAAACTTTTATTTTAAAGCAATGCAGTTTGAAAAAATTAAATCTAAACAATGGTAATCGTACAATACATCCTCAGTTATTGAAGAAAAAAAATATCTGTTCCACTACAACCCATGGTGATTTTTGGGTTTAGAGTACTATGTGAGGGAATAGTGTTACAAGGCCAATGGTTGTACAGGGAGGTGATTGAGCCGAAATCACTCAACTGCCAGGTTTTCCTTCTTAATTAGTTATTTAATTAAGAGTACCCACTTTATAGAAACTTGGTTGTGACCCAGGAAGGTCTCCTGACCTCAGGGTCGATCCATGGCTGATGAAAAATAACTATTCATCAGCCAGATTCGAACCTGGTACCTTGTGCTCTGGAAGTCAGAGCTCACCCACTGAGATTAGAAAAAATAGAATTTAAACTACCATTGTCTTAGTTAAATTAAGGGATTAACAATGTCTTAAGGTTTATGAAAATAATTTTTAAATAATTAAGCTTTGGACAGCAGCCGGTGAAGGGAAGTATGCAGACAGGGAATGGTGGTATCAGCATTGGACCTTTGTGTTCAGTTAGCCTTTTACTATGATCATTGCCATTAAAAGCCAAGTCTCATTGCTGATTATTTCTCATTTAACAATGTTTTATAAGAACCTAATTAAAAGTTTAACTTTTATAATGATCCCTGAACATTATTTCAAAAAAGTTTCTTAGAACTTTTATTTTAAAAACTTTTCTCCCAGAAAATTTTGTCAAAACTGTTTGATCGAACTTTGATGAAAATTTTTAAGCCCTGCTTAAAATTGCTATCTAAAATATTGAAATTATAAAACACTAAAATATGTTTCACATTTTATTTTAATTATATAAATATTTTAGTTTCATAATTGGACTTAGTATAATTAAATATGGATAAAAATTCAAAGGAAGAAAATCCATATATAAGGATTTTAAGATAAATCAGTAAAAAACATTAAAACTTAAAATGTTGGAAAAGCTATACATTCAGTTGGTAAGCCAAGCATGTAATGGATGAAATAAATAATTTAGAAAGAACATGTGCACAAAATATCTTATGCAATAGCCTAGATCTTCCTCTAATAGATACCTTTTTATTAGACTATTTTGCGTGTACTTGATTTTTGCTTGAAAATCAGTGACAGAATAACGATTTTTCATCATATATGTGACTATATTTGTTGTTATTTTTTATTTGACTTTCTGTATCAAGGCTTGAAACGGAAAAAAAAAACCTTTTATTTAAAAAAGTTTTGGTATCCCTGGAATTGTTATTGTCTATAGTTTTCAGTTTTTTTTTCTAACTAGAACGTTTTCCTTTACAACTTTTCAAGTAAAGGTTTTACAGAACTTTTATTTTTAAAAACTTCTATTTAAAAGTTGACAATTTTCTTAGAACTCAATCTAAAAAATTACTTTTATTCTTATCTACTCAAACAAACGACACATTAAAATCATGTGTAATTCTTTAAGACAAATTATAAATCTAATCTAAGCCCAATTATGATTTATTTTTCATTTAATGGAACTTTTTTAAAAAAGTTGAATAAAAACAAGTTAAACTTTTACCATAAACCTAAAATTTTTATTTTAAGACCTTTTTCCAAAACGTTTCACAGAAACTCTTAAAATGAAACTTTTTTTAAAAAGTGCCATAAAAGTTTCAATCTCTGCTCTGTATTTCTTTTCTTGTTCCTATGTTTGTAATGATTTATCAATTTTACATAAAATTATCCATAATTTTCTTAGCATTGGTTATTGCTTGAAAATTTAAACCATATACTTATTGTGGCACCACATATTCAGTCAGATATTAGTAATAAAATTTCATAAATTCTATCTAGATATCTCTTACAAAACCGGTCATGACCCAAACTATTAGTAAGCCAATCGTAACGCAACACAAGTCATAACATCAAACCATCATACTTTGATAAGGTTTAAGTATTTTTAAATAGTGAATTAGAAATTATTTTTTTTAATTTTTAAATAATTACAGCAATTATTCATAATATTTCATAGAAACTATCAGAAATATAGGCTGTATAGTATGTGGTTTCATGAAAGAGCAAACATTTGGACTAAATGTATTGTATGAATTACAAGTTTAGCAAAAGGTTCAAGGTTCTAAAATTTAGTTGTGGGCTGGCAACAGTAAATTCATTTTGTAAGTTGAGTCGGTGTCTGTTGGATTATAACAAAATTTTATGTTTTGAGATTATTTTTATTTTTAGGTGTCGTCCTCATTTAACTGGTAAAACATGTGATAAACCAGAACAAAGCTATTTTGTTCCCCATTTGGATTTAGTGTTTGAAGCTGAAGATGGAGACTGTGGACAGGTAAATGTGCATGCTATGATAATTATCTTCTCAAGGGCAAAGAGTGAATGAACATTTAATGTCATTTTTATTTCTTAGAAAGCTGATGGGCTTGATTTTGGACACCATTACTCTCTTAAACCGTATTGTTTAATACTGTATATACCTACAAGAGAGTTAAAATTGCAAAAATAATTATAAACTAGTTTAGCAATACGTGCGTAGGTAATCATAAACTTAAAACTGATTTTCCAACTTGATATGTTAATATTCATTCATTTTTCCCCTCTTACTCCTTAAATAACAAGTTTATATTAAAATAAAATGAACCTTTTTTGTCTTTATCTGGGTAAATCATGAGATTCGGTTTTAGGTTCTGTACAGCTTATGATGTGATTTTACTAATAACATTTTATTATTTGTTTCTACTTGTCATTAGTCAGATTACTATTTTAAGTCCTTTATACACGGCATTTCATAACTGACCAGAAATACAGTAAAATCCAGTTATAACGATATCAAAGGGACCGACGAAAAGTTATCATTATCAAACTGTTAAACCTATATATACATATATATATATATATATATATATATATATATATATATATATATATATATATATATATATATATATATATATGTGTGTGTGTTTGTGTGTGTGTGTGTGTGTGTGTGTGTGTGTGTGTGTGTGTGTGTGTTTAGAATATTTTGCTCTAAGAGACACGTTTCACCTTTAAATATGAAAGGTTTTTCATAGATTTATCAATCGAAAAATCCAGTCTCTTCAGCTGTATAAATATCTTCATGCAGCTTTCTTGAACTGTTGGCCAAATTTTTTTAAGCCAGTTATCTGACACTCCGACTGAAACACATGATGATTCTACACTTATCTTTTCTAACATGGTATTATGTCTCTTTTGGGACCTGTTGATCCTAGACATGTAATTCAGTCTTATTTTCCCAGTAAAAAAGCCAATTCACTATCTTTACCTGAAAAATCAGTCTGCTGATTGGTTTATCAAGAGGCACGTTTTCTAGATCTTGGTGTTTTATGTTTCTAAGTTTTGTTTTTAAATTCACATTTTTTTTTTATTTTGTCTCTGTTTTTCCAGGTTTTTTATATCATAAATACGGAAATTCTAAGCTCCAAGATCAAATTTCTGATTAATTCTCTCTTCTTAATCTGATTTATGATTATCATATTTTTTTCAATAGAAAACACGTGACATCTGTTCAAAGTCATTTTAAATGCAATTTTAACACTGTCAGAACACCTACAGCATACCAGTCAGAAAACATAAACGCTGCCCTCAGAATAGCTACTGATGCTTTCTGATCAAGCCCTACAAATAGCCTATGTGTCGAAGCTAGCGAGCTTTCGCTTGACATACGGGACAACAACTTGTCCTCATTTATTTTGTTAAGATCCGTTCTGCTTCTAATCATCTACTGACTGATTTATTTTCAAATATGCAATACATAAATCAACAACAAACTGAATTACCAAATAGAAAACGCTTTACAATCAGAGTTTCAACTTTACTAAATAATATAAATATTCAACTTCCTATTTTTCAAGAAACTGCAGTTTCGCAAATTTATCCTTGGGGACTTCCTTCTCCAAAAATTCTTCTTTCTCTCACCAAATTTATTAAAAACAACACAATGGCTTATATATATAAACAGGAATTTCTCAAGCTTCAAGACAGACTAGGTGATTCTGACTTTATCTACACTGATGGCTCGTAGAGCTCTGCAGGCGTGGGAGCATCAATTATCTGTAACGAATGTCAACATATGTTTTCTCTTTCACCACTATGTAATAACTTTACTGCTGAATTGGTTGAAATACATGAAGGTTTAAATGTTATACAGCCCACTAAACAAAAAATGGTCATATGCACAGATTCTCTGTCCGCTCTAATTAGTCTAGGAAACGTTTTCTCATCAAATATCATAATACAAAACATTCTGTACTCAATAAAGTGTGCACATAGAAATGATATATCAGTGATTTTTGTCTGGGTCCCTGGGCATTGCGGAATAACCGGTAATGTACTGGCTGATCGAGCTGCCATAAAAGCCATTACTGATGGAATACCTTATCGGGGAGTACCTGTAGAGGATTTTATAACTGTCATCCAACAGAAAATGAAAGCAAAATGGGAACAGATATAGTCAAATGTAACCGAAAATAAATTAAGGGAGGTTAAGGGTGACGTTTCCTCTTGGACATCATGAAATAGGAATAACCGCAGAGAGGAAATAATTCTTACGCACCTGCATATAGGTCATACACGCCTTACTGATGGATACCTGATGGCCCGTGATTCTTCGCCAACATGCCAAACATGTGGGACTCCTCTGACAGTGAAACACATTTTAATGGAATGCAGAGCTTACGAAAAATTTAGACTCTCTTTTGCCTTGACAAACGATCTACACTCCATTTTACAACAAATTGTGAACGCACATGGTTGAGATAAAATTCTTATAGATACAACTTGTAAGCTAGAATTGATATTAAGGTCAATAAAAGGAATATTGTCATTAATTATAATGCACACCCCGCCACAAGCAATTTGACCATCTGTATAATCTTTTCTCCTTATTACATATCCCCGGAAATCAAAATTTTCAGTAGATTTTAAATTTGTTTCTTGTAGACAGGCTATAGAGCAGTTATAGTTACTGAGTAAATATTTTAATTCATCTCTATGGTGGTTTAGACCATTTATATTCCACTGTAATATATTCATTTGATATAATTTGCTCTACCTATACTGTCTGTCATTAAATTTGAGCCGATAAAAATTACAATAATGCTTGTTAAAAATAAATAAAAAGAGTATTTATGGTATGGATATTGAAAATTATTTTTATAAGGTGATAACAAGTATAATACGATTAAAAGAAACATTAAGTAAGAAAAATTAGATATAAATAAAAATATTTTATAAATTAAATAGTCAAGCATAAAAGGAATGGACAATATTAAAATCCGTTGAAGTGTTATTATTAGATTTAAATGTATAAGAGTTGTGATTATCAAGAAGTATTAACAGTGACAGTAGTGTAGGTAGTATGTTTATAGTTAAGATTTCTTACCAACTTTGTTTTTTTGTTTTGTAACTTGTGTATTTTTCGAAGAACCACTTTGATCACTCAAAGAGGAATTTTGAGACAATGCACGATTTCTTTTCATGCTATAATTTAACATGGGTATATTTGATACAGTATCCGGTATATTTTTATTTATTATCTTTTGTTCTTTAACACTAATATTGAATTTATTTTCAATTTTATTATTATTTTTCGGTAAAGAAACGATTAATTTGTCACAGCAGTCGATTTTATTATCAGAATTAATTTTATTTACAGTAGATTCCATTATACTTATCTTTTTAAATTAAACATCGACTGTACTAGCTAATTTTGAGATCTGTTCAATTAAAGCTTCTGTTGCCAAAGATGATTGCTGTTCGGAAGTGGAGGCAGGCGGAGCCACAACCTCAGCGTGGGTTCTACCTGTCATTTATACTGCGTAATTCTACGCGCCTCAACCTAAATTTTGCTTCACGATATGAAATTTTCTCCCTTGTTTTCATACCCTCTATCCTTTTCTCTCTCTCGTATACTGGACATTTAGAACTATAAGCAGGATGACTACCAAGGCAATTCAGGCACTTAATTTGATCGTTTATGCAATTGTCAGAATCATGTGAATTTTCTCCACATTTTCCACAATTAATAATATTACAATGTTTTTTAGTATGCCTATGTTTATAACACGAAAAACAAAGGAGTGGCTTCGGTTCATAAGGTCTTATTTTTATGGACAAGAAATCCAATAAAATTCTTTAAGGTAACTCACTTTTTTCAAACGTCAAAATCAATACTGGAGTGGCTCTATTTTCATTATTTATTTTTTTATAGATTCTTTTAACCTTTACAACTCACTGATTCTCAAATTCAGACACTATTTCATCTTCAGAACAATTTAACAATTCTGGGACGTAGGCGACTCCAATTGAAAAATTAAGTGATTTGTGTAATTAAAATATAATCGGAATATTTTGGAACGTTTTTATATTTTCTAAATTTCTAAAATCTTTTTCATTATTTACAGTCAATAATATCGTACCACTTCTCAAAAATTTTACTATCACGTGTGGACCATAACCTTTCACAAGTCTGCAAACATTAAAAGGACTGTAGTCCTTAAAAGTTTTATTACTCGGATTACCACTTAATCTCATTATTAAATACTTCTTCAACCACTTTCTTTTATATTTAAATATATTCTCCTGTATGTCAGGAGGTTTTGGCTCCAATTTAGTCTCCATTAGATGAGACGATAAATTAAAAAGAAAAATTATTAAAACAAATGTAAAGTATTATTTAAACAAAATGAAATAAGAATAGAAAGAAAAAAGAAAGAGAAAAAGAAACGAAAAAGGTACTCCCTGTAGACAGTGAGATTTGATGTAAACAGTAATGGTAATCCTCACGATGTTCACTCTATCATTGATAAACAACAACTGAAGAACCATTTTTAAAACTCTTTTATTTAATGTTCATATTTTTCATCCATTCAAAACTATTATACTCAATTATAAATTGAGTATAATAGTTTTGATGATATTTCAAAAAGCGATATACCGGTTGGCCTTTTTTGTGTTTCTGTCAAATCTTTGTGTAAAGATAGTGCCCAGCTGTCTCGTTGCGGCGTATGGTGGGGTCAGATCAGAAGATCTAAAAGATAAAATTTAGGATGATGAGTTACCCTCTAGTGTGTCTTCATTGTGGAAGGTTTTCCTTGAAGAATTTCTGAGCTTGAGAAATGTTTGCCTGCCTCAATGCTTCCAAGAAGGGTTACGGGTGTGTGATCTACCTGAGAGTTGGATGCCCAGGAGAAGCTACCAAAAATCAATTTGTTAAGGGCCAGAGCAAACCCATTTCTATCCATTTAAGTTGGGCGGGTATAAAGTGGACCTTTACTCCTCCAGTGTCTCCTC